GCCGGGCGTGGTAGCGCGCGCCTGTAGTTCCGGCTACTTGGAAGGCTGAGGCAGAAGGATCGCCGGAGCCCAGCAGGTCGAGGCTGTGGGGGCCGGGAGCGGCCACTGCACTCCAGTCTGGGCGACAGAGTGAGACTCCAACTCAAAAAAAAATTAATTAATTAATTAAAAAATATATATACATATATGCAGAGATGTTGCCCAGGCTGGTCTCAAACAAAGGCCTCAAATGATCCTCCTGCCTCAGCCTCCCAAAGTGCTGGGATTACAGGCATGAGTCACTGCACCTGACTGCTTCCAGCGCTTCCACTGTCCCCGTCACCTGCACAGTGATGTACACTCAGTCAGGTTGGTCTCAATGTTCACATTACATACATCACTGCTGTGAGTGTCTTCTTGCTGTCCCCTTATGGACTGTAGGAGAATGCTTCTTGGAGTAGGACTTCCAGGCCATAGGGCATATGCCCTCATGATTTCACGGAGTACAGTAGATGCTCTCCTGAGTGGCTGTGTGAATTGACACGGCACCTTGAGGCTTCTGATTTTCTCAGTACTTGGTCTCATCCAGCTAGCTAGCTTGCTTTCTTTCTCTCTCTCCTTCTTTTCTTCCTTCCTTTCTTTTTTAGAGTTGGAGTCTCACTCTGTCACCCAGGCTGGCACGCTCGCTCATGGCCACTGCAGCCTCAACCTGCTAGACTCAGGCGATCCTTCTGCCTCAGCCTTCCAAGTAGCTGGAACCACAAGTGTGCGCAACCACGGCCAGCTAATTTTTTAATTTTTAAGTCGGAGTCTCACTCTGTCACCCAGGCTGGAGTATAGTGGCACACTCACGGCCACCGCAGCCTCGACCTGCTGGGTTCAGGCAATCCTTCCATTTCAGCCTTCCAAGTAGATGGAACTACAGGCATGTGCCACCATGTCCAGCTAATTTTTTGGTTTATTGTAGAGATGAGGTCTTGCCAAGTTGCCCAGACTGGTCTTGAAGCCATGAGCTCAGGCAATCCTCTCACCTTGGCCTCCCAAAGTGCTGGGATTATAGGCGTGAGGCACTGTGCCCAGCCTAATTTTTTTATTTATTATAGAGAAAAGGTCTCGCCAAGTTGTCCAGGCTGGTCTTGAACCCCTGGACTCAGGCAATCCTCTTGTCTCTTCCTCCCAAAGTGGTGGGATTATAGGCATGAGCCACCACGTCCAGCATATTAAGATCCTTAACCCTATGGATTCCATCTTTGAATATGGTGCAAAGAGGGGCCGGGCTTGGTGGGCAACACAGTGAGACCTCATCTCTACAAAAAAATCAAAAAATTAGCTGGACATGGTGGTTCATACCTGTAGTCCTGCAGGGCTAACTGGGAGGCTGAGGTGGGAGGATTGCCAGAGCCCAGGAGGTTGAGGCTATGGTGAGCCGTGATCG